TATATATTAGATTATAATTTTATGTAATTATAAAATTTAATGTTTAAAATAATTTAATTTATTATATAATTAATGTAATTAAAAATATATTAACATTATTAATTTATAAAATTAATTGTTTTGTATAAAAATAGTTTATTTAAATAATTAAAAGAAAAAAAATAAAATTGGAGATAAGTGAGTGGGCCATGTGGCTTGCAAATTGACTTGCAAATTTTGCAAGTAAAATCCTATGTGGCACAAAATTGCATTTTTGCAATTGCTTTTGCAATTCATTTGCAAGCCCTATGTGAGTGCTCTAACCATGGAGTCAAAATCAAGAACAATATCAAAATGTATAAAATCATGTTGTAAATATGAAATGAATTGATAATTTTTTTATAATATTATGTATATATTAATTATAAGTTGCTCGGGTCATATATCCATTAAAGAACGACGATGATTTTCTACGATCTTAAGATTTTTATAATCTATAAAATTAATATAATACGTCCAATTAATTTCACGATACTACTCAAAACATGTATTAACTGTACATTAGGATACAACCAGATGGGGGCCTTATTGGTCTTGGGTCGACCCATGGTCACATGATTCACTTCGTCGCTTTCGGACCTGCTCTCCCCATGACACTCTCTCTCCCCGATCCACTCTCACCTTTTTCATCGTGCTCCTTTGTTTAAGCTCTAACACCTGCATCTGCCACGACTTTTTCCACAACGCTTTCTCCTCCAATTTGATATCAGACTGAAACCCTTTATTCACTGAGAAACCCAAGTGGAAGCCTTTCACCATGCTAGCATCATACATAGCTCGAGCATATGGGTCAGATAACGTCTCATATGCCTCCTGGACCCTGATAAACCTCAACGTATACTCATCAACCTGCTCTGTAGGCGATACATCTGGGTGGTACTTCAACGCCATCTGCCTGTACGCCCGTTTGATATCAAAGAGTGTCCCGCTCTCCGATATACCCAACAAGTCATACAAGGTCTCCTCCTGCGACAACGTGTGAAGATTGTCGATGGTGGCAGTCATAGGTGGTGAACTAGGGATTTTTCTTACTGATACTATTGGTTTTACGTTGATGAAATTGAAGGAAATATGGTGTGGTTGAGATAGAGTGAATCGATTTGAGGGGCCATGAAAATGGGTTTGAATGCCTAAAGAACAAAGTTTAGAGCTTATCATTCTGGGTTGTGTTTGTTGAATCGTAGAAGATAGTGTGTGTACGTGTGTGTGTATATATATATATATATATAATACTTGATTAGTTGTCTTGCAAATTGAGATTTGTTTTGAATTAAAAATTATGTTTGGGATTGCTTAATTATACGTGACTAAATATATTAAACTATTTTGATTTTATTTATTATTATCACATGTATGTAGCGGTTGTTTGGGATTGTTTACAAAAACTTATTAATTTATTTCGGTGTGACATCGGTAATAAGCATATTTGAGTGTTTGGATAAACAGTTTATACCGGTGTCAAACCAGTAATAAGAAGTTTTTGAAAATGTTAAGTCAGTCTAACTTATAATAAGTTGATAAAGACTTTTATAAAAAAATATAAGTTGTTTCAAATATGCAATCGTGTTTCACATACCTCACAAAAACAGACTTATCTCACATGATTCCAAGTTTAATTTAATATTATACTACTAAAATTTAAAAGTTTTACCGACTGTTGTATAAACAATGTTAAAATATATTGACTGTTCGTCGCCGCCAACAGAAATACCATAAAATAATTTGAGAATTTATAAATATTTAAATACAATTAATTTTCAATTAAAATATGTCAAAATAATTTATAAATAATAAATATTTAAATACAAATATTTTTTTATAAAAATATGTCAAACCAGAGTTGTTGAAGACTTGAAGAGTTGTACGAGGCTGAGTGGATGGGAATTTCTATGAATTTAGACCCTTGGATAAATGGATGGCTCCCTACAAAAATGGTCCTTCAACTATCTCTTCATCTACAAATCTAGTCCTTTAAGAAAAGGAAATTTTATAAAATGGTCCCTACAGTTTATAAAAAGGAACCATATCAAAGAACAAGGAACCAGAGAAAGGGAGTTTTGCAAGGAATAAAACCTCAACCGAATCACCTTCAAAAGAAAAGCAAGCAAAAACAAAAAATCGAAAGTCCCAAACGCAGTTTTACCATGAAAAACAGGACTAGACCGTCGTATATAAAGCTAACCAAGACAAAAACTGTTATCAGAAATCCAGCAAAAACTAAACCTGAAGCAGCAACAAAAGAAACTGTGAAAAGAAATTTTTTACCCGTTAAGGATTTTGAACTCCACGTCAATCCGACCAAGAAATTGAGAAGATCTGTGCGTTTTGAAAACAATTGGATGATAAAAGCTAGAGTATGAAAAGATGGTCAATTTGTTTGTGAGCCCCGATAAAATGGACCCTATTCTTTTCAATTGTATAAATTGAGTACAAAGCGATCAAAACCACCCCTTCCCAGTGCCACCATCTCGAACTCCGAAGAGCCTGAGAATCCATACAGACCAATAATCCATTTCGAGGTAGCTCAATGTAATTTTAATCGAGGCTTTTTATTATGTTTAATTTTCTATGTCTAAATCAATATAATTTTAAATGTTTCTTGAATCATATACATGTTTCAATTGGACATATAATACCTTATATAGTATTTTTCAATTTGAAGTACTGCATATGTGTAGTTAAGCTGTAAACTATAACCATGTTACAAAAATCATATCTTAAACAATCAGTTAGCTTTACTATTAAAAAAAAAAACATTTTGTATCTATTATAATTCCAAGTTTGGGCAAAAGTTGATTATTGGCAACCCTAACGGTTTCACATGACACATGCCTCCAAGAACATCATGTGAGAAGACATTTTTTGGCTTACTCAACGACTGAGGCTAGCGAATGTCTGAGATCTAACAAAACATGTCTTGTTATTAAACAAAATCACATACCCTTTTACCACCTAAGCTAAGCTACACATCAAAGAAATTACAATTCGAGACAAAATATAAATATTCTTCTTCTCCATAAAACATCGACAACAAAATGATGAAATGGTTTGTTTTTAAATAATTAACTGTAATTCAAAATAGCAGTATGATTAAGACAGTGATAACGAAAAGTTATAAAAAAATTGGTAAAAATAGTCATCGTTTACGCAATACGTATAAAACCGATAAGAAAATGTTTGTATATTTTATTTTTTTAAATGGAAAATTATTGTCGTTTTCACATACAGCTTTATTAAAATAAGACGACTTATTTACAATGTTCGGTCTTAAAATATAATTATAAATACTATTTGTATTGATTTTCATGGACAAAGTTAGAATTATGTATCTATCAAACAAATAACATATTAATTATAGTTAATTTCACGTGTTTGAAACCAATTTGAAAATATAAATAAGAGTGAATGACACTAATGGTCCTTATGGTTTGCATAAATTTTGGATTTGGTTTCTAAAATGAACTATTTATACTAATAGTCCCTAACTTTTCAATTTCATAACATTTATGGTCGTTATAATTAACACCATATATTGGGAACCGTTACGAGAGACAAAAACAAACTTTGGATAAACTGTAGGGACCGAGAATGTGATTAACTCTAAAATTAATTACGATTCAAATATTTTATTTTGTTATTCCTAGTGGTTGCTAACTGACGGTGTTAACTATAGGGAGCATAAGTTTTATGAAATTGAGAAGTTAGGGACCATCAATGTAAATAGTTCATTTTAGAGGCTAAATCTAAAATTTAAGCAAACTATAGGTACCATTGGTGTAATTCACACTATAAATAATTTTCTCAAATAAAATTAACCCTTTAGGGCTCGAACGACTTATTGGGTAAGCTTACCGGCACGAGTCATCATCCACACTTACTTTATCGAGTAACATTCCAGACCATCAAAATGGATAGATGGTAACCGTTGAGCACCAGGTACGTGCTTACTGAGTAAGAATCACTACCCTCATTTACTGGGTAAGACTCTCAGTTCTTAAATTCTTTCCTACCTAGTATGATTTTTGGTCATTTCTATAATCATTTTATAAGACAATTCACACGGTAAGCACTTATGCAATAAGTGCTTAGCAAAAGACGACGTACCAACAATGAATAAGATACGTATTTTAATTTAATGTCACATCATGGCAATTTTAAAGTGTACCACAAGAAAACGACCTTGTAAATTTATTTAAAAAGGGTGTATTATTATCGATAACTATTCATGCAAAGTTCAACGAAAATCAAATGCGTTGAAATATGGAAACACATAGAAAAAAAGACTGTATGAAAAGTATATTACAATACAGATGTTAAATTAAAATGAATAAAAATGTTATTGTTTTTGTATAGTCTGTTTCGATCCACTTTCGGTTATATTCATGGCAGAGTGGGCCATTAATATAGACCGAAACTAGTTGAATCGGTGACCTCAAACGAAGCAAAACTAGTTGAAGCAATGATATTAATCGAAGATGGAGTTGCATGTCAATTTAGAGACCGTTTACCAAATGCTTATTGGCAAAAGTCACCGCCTTTTCTTACTTTGTATGGTAATATTATCGCCATCAAAATGAATTATCTGTAAACGTCTGTTACTTGGTAATCGCTAATCGGGTAAGAATTCTTTTTCTTACTTACCAGATAAGAACCTCGGTTGTTGTCATGTCTTTTGCCGGATAAAATTATCTGTCATTATCACGTTCAATCGGTAAAATAAATGACCACTTACCTTGTAAACCTTTAAATTTAGAAAGTAAAGGGTTGTTCGACAGTTGCTGAATGGTTTTGGCGTCGAATGATTAAGAGGTCATATTGATTCAGCGACTCTCATGATATAGTGGAAAATAAAATATAATTGTTCGGTAATTGTTTACAATGGAATTAAGGCGCTGAATGGTTAAGGGAGGTACAAAATTATTCAGAGAATTTTAAATTTGTTAAGAGACAATTTTTTTTGTCAAACAAGATTCACCTCTTAACGATTCAGATATTATTATTTAATATAACTATTAAGAGATAAACAAACAATCTTTAACTATAAAATTTAGTGGTTGATGTATTTAATATTTTAATTTGTACAAAATCTTATTATGACATACTCATAGATACGCATTGATTTATATATTAATATATCGATAAACTAAAATATCATCCAATAAATATGATTAATAATAAAAAAAATGTACACGTATAAATATTCGCAAAATACCAATAATAAAATGAAAATTATTACAATTCAATATTAAATTATATTAATTTTTAATCATTATAAATAATAAAAAACTAACTTATCCAATATAATTACTATTTTACTCCTATATCAAATATATGTCGTATTGTATACATATAAAAATTTACGCTTTTCGTATCACCAATTATAATTATAAAATGTCTACTGTTGTTTGCAATAACGTTCGAATTTGATTCCGTTTTTTAATGATTGTTACAAAATTCCATTAAGTGATAAAACATTCTTTTTAGTTTATCGATTTTTTTGTCTTTTACTCAATGATATATATAGGTCTTATAGGTTGTTTGGTTGTGGCTTAATGGGTTGCATAGCCTATATGGCTTATTCGGTAAGCCATAAAGGAGTATTCGCTTTTGGCTTAATACTACAACCAGGTGCTTATTCGTACAGCCAAGGTAGACTTGTCTTTAGCATTCAGCCATGGTTATTACACGAATGCCCGTTATCGTATTAAATAGACACGTACGCCTCCACAAGGAAAACCTACCAGATCGATCACCTCCTCCTGCATTGTTTGTCATCATATCCTCCTCCCTCTGTCGCCGGGAATCACCTCTTAACCTATCGCCGGTCATCGCCTCCTCTCCCGTCGTAGGTCAGCCAACTCATCATCTACCATCATCGATCACATCCTCCTCCATCGTTGGTCATCTCATCCTCTCCCTGTCGCTGGTCATCACCTCTTCCCCTATCGCCGGTCTTCTCCTCCTCCCCCGTCGTATAGTATAGATATGTTCTTCATCTTTTTCACTCATTGTTATTTTCAAATAAATATCGAGAGCTATAAGTATGATTTTAGTGAGTTTCTTCCAGGTCACATGAACTTGTGAAGGACCATCAGATATTGGTGGGAAAACATCTCCAGAGCAAAAGTTGCATAAAACCCATAACATCTTTTGATTCACATGTATTTAGGGTTTCACTGATTTTGGGTTCTTTTGAATTGGGGTTTTATTTGATCTACTTGTCGTTCTTGTTATGGGTACCTGATGTAGTAAAATTGATCCATAAAAATTTACAATTAAAAAGTTTTATCAAACTGTTGTTTTATTTAAACAAAAAATAAAGACTGGGGATAAAATGGTCATTTATGATATTCAGATTGTTTATTCAACACAACAATCTAACAACTTCTTATATGTTAATATACATACAACTATATCCATACAGGTCTTAACAAAAAAACAAACCAAACAACCCCTTAATTGAGGTTGTTCACAAGTCTATATAAATGAGGCCCCAAACATAAGAACAGTTGGGCACCAAAATTTTGGATGACCTGTTCAGAAAACCTATATTTAATATGTTATAACCATGATTAACATAAATCACAATGTGAAACTTTTTTGTGTGTTTGTGAATACAAAAGATACATGTAAAAAAAATCACACCATGAATCAAATACATATGAAACAAATATATGCTAATAAAATACGCTAGATACTAGCATTAGATATAAAAAATCATGTAAGACAACATTTTAATGTAAAAGTTCTAACGATCATCACAATATATGAAATTCTCATTTAATTACTTCTCTATATATACCAGTAAAAAAAGGAAAAGGATTCAAAGAGAGTCTAGAAAAAAAGAGAACCATAGAACAACGAAAAAACAAATGAAAAGAATTCAAAAAGGAAAAAGATCCAGAGAAAAACAAATGAATTTTTTTTGTGTGTTTATGAATTGTGTAATTAGATCTATAAAAGTGTAAAATCTAAAGTTAAAAGTGTAAAATCTAAAGTTGAAAATGTAAATACAAAAGCTAAAAAATGTTATGAGCTTTTTTGTAACGATGGAGACGTATCTTGTGCCATGACAAACACCATGACACATCTTTTAAACACTGTTTATAACCATATTTTTAATCACATCTGAATAAAATTCCCATTTTTTCAGGTTATCTCTGGATTAAATTTTTTAAAAAAAAGTTAACATAACAAAATTTACTTATTTTAGTAAATGAATGTAAATCACTCAATAAAGAAGGAAATATAAGTAGAAAACCACACAATTTAAACTAATTACACGTGTCACCGCTACATTCAACCTGAAGCAACTATATACAGACCCTAAACGTCAGCATTCTTCTCGTCGTTTTGTTCCGTCTCGACCATTTCCCCTCCTGCCACCTTCCTCCTCCGGCGACAAACAGAAGCAAAATCGTCGAGGAGGCGGCGGAGAAGATCTTCACCGGCCACCTCGATATCAGTTATTATTCAATCAATCAATCAATAGACCATGGGGAGGAAAAGGAGTTCGGCTGTGAACACATTGTTCACATGGGTTCGAAGTCAATCGACGCAGGCGAAGATCTTCATGGCCGTCGCCGCCATGATTTCTTGCCTCTTCCTTGTAAAACGTTTCGTCGCAAATCACAATAATTTATTCGTAGCTTCAGAATCCGTACACGCGGCGGGAATAATCGTTCTAATTTACAAGCTCACAACCCTAAAATCCTGTACCGGTAGGTATACATCATTTGTATCTATATCTGTTTTTCAATTTTCTTCCAAATCGTTTCATTTAGGGGTTTCTTTCCGATTAAAACGTAGCTTTTTAAGATATCCAAAAGTTGCAATACTTGTTAGAATTTTGTTGTTAGTGCGTTTTTTGTAATCGATCAAATGTAATTGCACATTGTTGGTTTTCGTATTTCCTTTCATCAGCAACACGAATTTTGTAGTCGATTTCATGATTCGCTTATTTCACTTGAATGATCGAATTTTGTTTCTATGGTCGTCTTCTTCATAGGGCTTTCGTTGCAGACACAAGAACTCACAGCCATTGTTTTAGCTGTAAGAATTGGTTGTTACTTTGCTATTGGCCATAGCATTCATACTGTTCTTGACGTTGCTGCATTGGTGTCTACTATTTTGGTCATTTACATGATGCGATTCAAAGTTAACGCAACATACCATCAACATCTCGACAAAACACCAAAACGTTATCTGGTAAATACAAACCCTTCCTTCTATTTTTGGTATTTCTTTCCCAACAAATATGTCCTAGATGGTGGATCTTGTAACTTTGTCTCTGATACCATGTGAAGAATATACGAAACCCCATGTTTATGGAGAATAGTTTCAAATCTAGCTGGGACTTTTTTCCCTCCAATGGTGGCTAGACGGACACAAATTGGTAGACTCGTACCCATCCTCCTCTGATATCATGTGATAACATGTGGAACCCCGGATTTATCTCCAAGAGAGTTCTTAGAGATAAGGGAGGTTCCACATATATTATGGAGAATAGTTCCAAATCTAGCTGATGTGGGACTTAACACGCCCCCTCCGATGGAGGCTAGACGGACACAAATATGGTGGATCTTGTACTCATCATGCTCTGATACCATGTGACAACATGTAGAACCCCAGATTTATCTCCAAAAGAGTTCTTGAGGAGAGAAAGGAGGTTCCACATATATTGTGTAGAATGGTTCCAAGTCTAGCCAATGTCGGATTTTTAACACGTCCCCTCCAACAGAGGCTAGACAGGCATAGATTGTCCTAGAGTATCGAAAGCGGGATAGACGAGTACAAATTGCCGTAGAATGCCAAAGTCCTTAAGAGTGCTAGAACTCGGGATATGATACCATGTGAGTATATATGGAACCTCTCCAAAAGAGTCGTTGAGAAGAGAAAACGGAGTTTCCAACGTATATTGAAGAGAATAGTTCCAATTCTAGCTGATATAAGACTCTAACGACCTAAACAACAAAATGGTTTTATCGTTTTCTTGTGAAGATATATAAAACCCCTTTGAATTTTCTCTAAAAGAACATAAATGGGAGATTCCTACAAACATATATAAAGGTTTGATGGTTTGTGTCTAACTGATGTGGGACTCCAGTAGCTATGATAACGTGTTATATGTTTTCCTCGTGTCTTCCGTGCAGATCATTCCTTGTGCCGTTATGGCCTTTTCAATTCATCCCAACAGTGCTATTCCCCTTGTGGCTAAAGTGGGTTGGGCATTTGGTGTATACTTGGAGGCAATTGCAGTGCTTCCTCAACTTCATATGATGCAAAGAACACAGGTTTGTTATATTAGTGTCTTAATCGATCCATATCTTGACTACATTGACTTCGATTTTACGTAATCGAGAAAACTAACCTCTTTTTATCGCTCAAATGTGCTGCAAACTTTCAGATGATCGAACCATTTACCGCCCATTACGTGTTTGCACTAGGAGTGTCGAGATTCTTTAGGGCCGCTTATTGGATTCTCCGGGTTAGTTTCAGTTTCTTAAAAAAGGATTTGGGATATGATTTGTTGGTTGTGAGGTGTGTCGGGTCCTTGGAATAAATGGTCTTACACGGGTTTCCAATCGGGACCATGATCTAAAATTCTTTTTTTAACTCAATAACCTTCATCTGACTTTCTGACCTACGGACCGATGAAGACCCGTGCGGGTCCCGTGCACCCTCTCAACCTATTTCCGCAAGTAGAATTATTTTGAGTATGAAAGGTGCAGTGTTAAACTTTGAGGGGTGTACCGGGATATTAGAAAATAAAGGAACATCGACAGAAAAAGTCCGTCAAAATCAACCAAAAAACTTAAAAAATCCCTCGAAACGGTGGAATTGTGCTAAAAACACATTGGAGGACTTTGCGGCCTTTGATCCACCTTTAAGGTGCACCCACTCAGCAAAAATCATGGGTCCGCTGCTGTCTGGTTCAATACAGTTTGCTCCCGTAAAAACTTGGAAACCAATTAGAGGGTTAGATTTGTAAATTTAGTGTCTATTTTGGAAGGGTGTCTTAGGCTATGCTCAGGCTAATCCCGACAAATTGTGACCGCAAAACATCAGCCCTGATAAAGTCAGTGGCCACAATTGTTGTGGACGGCTAGGATTGAACCCAAAACAGATGGGATATTCCACCACATCCCCATCGGCTATGCCATGACCCTTGTGGTTTCTTAAATTCAGTGTTGAGAAGGCCATTCAACTAAATAGCCCGTGGTTTTCTATAGGTGTATGAATCCACCGAAGCATATTTGTTCTTACTCGGACGCGGCTATTTTTGGGTACCGATGGTTTTATTATCCGAGGCCGTTCAGTCGTTCATCTTGGCAGATTTCTGTTATTATTATCTCAAGAGGTAAAACGTTTGCCTTTTGCTTGTCACCATTAGAAACGTGCCACTTTTCTTACGTCAATTTCGCTTCAATCTTGCAGTATCGTAAGCGGCCATCGTTTGGTGAAACTACCGCGGGTCTGATACCGTTATCGGTTCGTAAATGTACAGGTTCATCCGTATATGCTTGTAAAAATCTGATCATTTTTCATCAGATTTAGGTTTTGCGTCTAAATCTGACCTTTTATTTTTGTTGTTCATGTAATTACTGTCAATTTTGTAACATCAAGATTTTCAATATTATAACCATTTTTTTGATTATATCAATGTTGTTATTCGATATTTTTTGCTCGCTCGGTGAATCCGTTGATCTAGTACAAAACCCGACTCAATGCCCCATGTTCCCTTCATGTCCGCCAATCACATAAATACAGATCATGATGGGTGTTTGTGTGATCGTTGGGAGAGGGATGACGTACGAGATTTAGGAACGTGAGATTTATATTCATAAAAACCGGTGTTTTGGGGGGAGAGTTGCATAAGTATTTGTCTTCAAGATAGATATATATATATATATATATATATATAAAGAGAGAGAGAGACGAACGATCACGTGAAAATAGAGTTAAGATGAGAAGTCTAGTAAGGTATTTGGACCTTTGATTACTTTTAATTATTGTTGATCTAATGGTTCATATTAAGTCGCAAAATAATCAGTGAATTAGCTTACAGTGGTATTTTCAATTATGATTAATTTAAAGGTGAAGATCCATTCTTACATTTCTTATGATAACTATTATTCTTATCGGAAACCAACTATATACATATATATATATATATATATAGAGAGAGAGAGAGAGAGAGAGAGAGAGATCCTCAAATACAACCAACTTATAGAGTACAACCGTTACAACCAAGGGTATTTGGGTCTTTTTACAAAATTCGTATTTTTAGGAATAATTCAAATTTTTCTTAAATAAAATCTCATTTTATGTTTTATACCTAAATGACTTATGTCGTTGAAACATAGATAATATTTGTGTATAATTTATCTATATCTGAACAACTCATGACTAATGACTTTTATCTAATCATTTATGTGACGGACTTAACTTTGATGATCTTCGATTGATAGCCTTTTTGGGTTAAATGACAAGCTCAAAAGATGGAAAGAAAAATTATAAGGAGTGGTGAAGAATTTAAGATCTAAACACTTACCTTGGTAATCGCTTATCGGTTTAATTACCTTGTCGGATGAATATAAGGACTGAAAAACTTACCCGGTAAGAGGGAAGATAATGATCGATAGTCTTATCCGATAAGTAAGAGTGATGATTCTTACCCAATAAGTGCTTACCAAGTTATAAATGTTTGCCATCAATCCATTTTGATGGCCGCGAAAAGTTACTGTAAGTGAAAGTGGTGACTCTTGCATGTAAGTGTTTGGTAAACGGCCCTTTACATATATTGAACAATATCATATGCATATGGCCCAACTTACATACACCGACTAATCTTCTGGGCAACCATCAATGACCTAGAGTTATCACAAGTGAACCTCCATGACCATAAGAGCTTTTTGCAGCATCTGAATTCCCTGAGGTATCTGAGATTTCCAATATACACCATGTGGCTTAACTAATACGCCACATCCCAAGGTTGTTATTATTCAGAAAATGGAATTTTTGGATTTTTTTAATCTAATAGATCATCCAAAATGGAAAAAAAATTCCATATACGAAGAATATCAAAAAGCAAATTTTTTATATCAATAAAAAGCGTTACGACCTACCAAATAAATCTGGTTGGTTGGTAGACTAGTGGTATTTATTTTATTTCATCATTCAGGGCATCTATTTATGGAATCTTACCAGATATCGATCGAATTTATTTTCTATCTCTTGTTTTGATGGGCATACATTCTTTCAACATACAAACTAAATATCTGATGAAATTGCCTCAACGACATACTGTTTAAACATCGTTTCTTTTCATGTTCTTTTATTCTACTGGTGATAGATACTAAAGATAAATCTTGTATTACAATTCATTTAACAATGAGTAAATTATAGGGATGACACATGTATCAGAGCATCTTCAACAGATTCTTTAAAATAAATAAATTATAAATTCTGACATTTTTGGTAATTTTCTTGATTTAACAGATTTTTCAAAATGGGAAACAGAGGGGGAAGTGAAATTCTTCAAATTTGAAGAAATATGATTACCATGAGAGGAAAATAATTTTTTATTATAATTTATCAATAAAAAATCTTGAAATTAAATGTTTATAGAAAAAAAGATATTTTATTAAATATATAGAATATTTTAATAATATAATTAATACCGTAATTTTTT